GAATCTTGCAGTCAATTCTCCCGTCTTCTGGTTTTCAGCGCCATTCTATTTCCAAATTCCTGGCATATGACTTTCCCCCCACCCAAAAGCTTTTTGGATCTTCTCTTCGTTTTCAAATATCTTTAAAAATATTTTATTTATTTTTTGAGAGAGGGGAAGGGAAGGAGAAAGAGAAGTGGTTGCCTCTTTCATTCCCCTAACAGAGACCTGGCCCCCAACCCAAGCATGTGTCCTGACTGGGAATCAAACCAGTGACCTCTTGGTTTTCAGGCCAGAGCACAATCCACTGAGCCACACCAGCCAGGCTGTCCTCACTGCCCCCCACTCCACTTTATATAGCACTTTGTTCTTCTTTCATAAATGTAAAATCTCTGGCATATTAGATGACAGTGTTCTATTTGGCTTTGCCACACCATCTCTGTTTCCTCTGATCTAGTTGCTTTTGTTCTCTCGCTTTCTTTTCTGTTTGTTTGCTTATTTTTGTCTCTGCCTTTCATGGAAGAGGCTTTCATTAAATGTCTGGGAATCACTGGCTGGCTATTCATGTTTAGAGTGAAGCACTAGTGAGCTGATTGCAAGATCTGAATGACAAACAGAAACAGACTCACGGATACAAGTGGACACACTGAGGGTTGCCAGATGGAAGGGGTTGGGGGACTGGGTGAAAAAGGTGAAGGGAGTAAGAAGTTACAAAATAGTCCCAGGGATGTAAAATACAGGGGGCACTGTAATTATCAGATCACTTCGTAAACTATGTGATTGTCTAACTGTTATGCTCTACACCTGAAACAAATATATATATATACATATATATATGTGTATATATACACATACATACATACATACATATATTTAAATGCAAGGGGCCGATTTGCTGACTCTTGTATTTCACTCTGGATTGATCGGGCAGTGAGCTGACTTTTCAGTATGTGTGAGATTTTTCTCAAAGCTCTTTCCTTTTCCCCAGAGAGGAGCCATTCGGATTTATGCTTGGAAGGAAGCTTCCCAGGGCCTGGGCTTCACAGCACTCTTCAAGCTTAACTGTACTTTTTCTCCTGGATTTCAGCAGGGCACCTCACCTCTCCCTCTGCTGGTGCCTGGTGCCCCAAGTCAGGAGGCTCTCTCGTTCCACTTTTCTAGAGTAAATCTTCCATCTCCTGCCACGGGGGAGAGGGGAGGGCTCTCTCAGCACAGTGAGAAAAAGGAGAGGCACAGACTCTGGGCAGACAGGAGGGGCGTTTTTGGCTGTTTGCCCAATCCCCACTTCTTTCTTTCTTTCTGATTTCATTCCCCTTCACTGGTGATGTCCTGGCGAGGGATTGGCTTAAGCATGAGCACATGACACTATCCTGGCCAATGAGAAGTGATGGGAAGTCAGCTGAGAGCTTCTGGAAGAGTGTGTCTTACTCTTTAAAAGGGTTATAAGACAGTCACTTCCTCGTCTGGACAGTGTGAGGTGGGATTGTGATGCTCGGGCCTGCGTCCATTCTTTTTCTTTTCTTTTTTTGAGTTAGAGAGAGAGAGAGACAGAGAGGTGGGGGGGAGAGAGAGAGAGGAAGAGAAACGGGAACATTAATGTGCTGTCCCACCCATTTATGCATTCATTGGTTGAGTCTTTTATGTGCCCTGACCAGGATCCAACAGCTATCTTGGTGTATTGGCAAATTGGGATGATGCTCTAATTAACTGAGTGACCAGTCAGGCCTCCATTCCTTTTCAGCCATGAGGGGAAGGCCAAAGAAACCACAGACAAGATGATCTGATGCCCCAGTGTCTTTGAACATCTGGATTAACCATCCTGAAAACCAGCCTACCTACAGACCCCTCAAAATGTGGAGTGACAAGCCCACTCTACTTTAAGTGCTAAAATGCGGTTGGAGACCATCAGAAGTGCACCATCTGAGATCTTATTAGAAATGCAGAATCTTGGGCCTCACCCTTGTCGGACTGAATCAGAATCTGCATTCTAACAAAATCTCCAAGGGTATGATATGCTTATTAGAGTTTGAGGGGCACTGCTTGAAGCTATATTTAGCTATTTCCCTTCCTAGTTGCAGCCGGAAACATTTTACCTGACAGCGTGGCTGCAGCAAACACCTTCAAAGCCACATGTCACCCCCCACCATGGCCCACTTTTATTTCAGCAACTGCTTCTGTGATAGGCAGAATTCTAAAGCTGACCCCACCCCCAAGATCCTGTTCTCTTACCCCTTCAAACACCAATCTAGTTACTGCCGCCCAGGGACTTGGCAGCCAGGGTCAAGGTTATTAATCAAGTGTCCTTAAAATAGAAAAATTCTTCCAGAGTCTCCAACTGAGCCTGATGTATCACAGGAACTCTCAAAAGTAGAAGAGAAAGACAGTGGAGATGAAGCAGCGGAGGAGGAGGTCAGAGACATTCCAAGTGTGAGAAAGATGGGACTTGAAGTTGGGGCTTTGAAGGTGGAAGGGAGCCACAAGCCAAGACATTCCAGCAGCCTGGAAACGTGAGAGAGACCTCCAGCTCACAGCCAGCGAGGAAATAAGGGCTTCAGTTCTACAACTGTGGATCTGAATTCCGCCAGTGCTCTGGGACATGGACTCATTCCTGAAGCCTCCACAAACGAGTCCAGTCCCGTCAACACTTTAAATTGGGTTTTGTGACTCTGGGCAGAGAACCAGCTGAGCCACCCTGTGCCTGCATTTTTGACATACAGAACCTTCGAGATAACACACTTCTGTGCTGTTTTTAGCTGCTAAATTGGTGGCAATTTGTCATGGCAGCACAGTTAGGGCAGAGAGCTCTGTGCAAGCCTAGACTTACCTCTCCCAGCAGTGCCCCACCGAACATGACAATGTGTCTTCCTGTCTTTGTGCCTGCCACAGCGCCTTCCCTGGTATCTGGGGAGCCTACCTGGCACACAGGAAACCAGAAGTGCGGGACGTTAACAGCCTTAGGGAAACTGGTCAACCAGTGGGGGAGGGGCCAGTAGCGTGGCTTTAACCTCCCAGCTTCTAGTTATGAGTGGCATCTGTGCACTTCCTGAAATTCCTGGTGGCGCCACAGCCCCATTATCTATAGCACATCAGTTCAGCTTTTCTTTTTGTCTCATTCTCCATAATTCCTCACTCTTGGTCCCTAGGATTACTTCCCAACTGACCTCCCTGCTTCCAAGCTCCTTTCTCAGTCTTTGCTGGGGATTGACAGGCAACCAACCAAGTCTGCTCCGTGAACTCTTTTTGCTTAGAATAAAAAGGTAACTTACTAGAAGATTATTTAGTGTTTCACACTGAAACCAGGCCCCAAGGAAGACTGAAATCAGGGGCCCCAGTACCACTAGCTCCTCTCTGTCCCTTGTTCCTTGTCCTCCAGTGACATTACCTTTGGAGAGAAAGAGTGAACGTGTCCTTAGCATCAGAGAGAAGGGTCGTAATTGATGACTGTTGGGTCAGTGTCCATGATTGGTACAATGGGAAATAGGCACTATCTTTGGTTCATCTTGGGTCAGAATTTAGCCCTGGACTGAACAATTATGGCTGTTTTTGTGATATGAGGGGCGTGGCTGTGGAATGAAGTCAGTGGGGGAGCAGGGGCAGCAGAGCAGTGCGGAAGAAGCCCGTCAGGCTTGTAATGACGTTGTTGAACCATGGAAGCTGCACACTCTGGCCTACCCGGGCCTCCTGCATCACGAGATGATCCGTTTCCATAGTGAGTACGCCAGTGTGAATCAGCTCTGCGGCTCAGAGCCCCAGGCATCCACTTAATTCCCATCCACTACCGTGAATTCTCTCAAATTCACTTTCCTGGCCTCCAGACCTACCCACATTTCCTAGTCTTGCTCCTCCTCCTCCTGGGTTTCCCACAATCAGTTACTTAAGAAACGAGAATCAGGTGCATGCTGTTAGGCCAGTTGGGTTTTAGACACTTCGGACTGGCTGACGGAACAAAGTCGCCGTCGCTGTGGACCAGTGAAGGAGGCAGACAATGAGCAAAACTATTTTCTGAATGAATCCAATAATGAATAATGCAGAGCAGGAACTCAACCAGTGTCGACTGAAAGAGTTACCTTTGTTTACAGTATATCACACCACGGTCTAGTTCAACACACGGACCCGGGAACGGAGAGGCAGACCCTGTTCTCGCAGCCCTAGAAATCTACACAGGGAAATACAACCCGGGCCTGCCCTCTGAAACTCAGAGTCCAGGAAGAACAGAGAACGTGGGTTCGGTGCTAGTTTTGTCAGGCCCTGTAAAACGGGCTTTTAGGGTAACCCTCTCATTTAGTCCTCGCTGACGCTAGGAGATTGTTCAAGGACAGACTGATGGCTCTAGAGGACAACAGGCCTGAGACCAGGCAGCCCTGACAGCGAAAAGAGCTCTGGCAAGCCGGTCCTGACTCTGGGGTTTAGACCTGCTCCAGGTGACCTCGTGCAAGTCACAGTCCCCCTCGCCTTTCGATGCTCTGGCCCGCGTGTGGCGACCGACTCTGGCACCCCCGCCCCGCAAGCCTCCTTCCCCAGGGGCGTGTGAGAGGGGTTCCACAGGAGGCCGGATGGGGCAAGCAAGGGAGGGTCGGTGGAGTCAGTAAAGGGTGAGCAGTAGGGAAGGAGATCCTGGGGAGAGGGACAGCCGTGGACACTCGTCTTCCCCACACTGCCCCCTGCTCCCACGCTCTCCAGCGCCGCTGCCAGGACCGACCTTCTGGGCTCCAAGAGGAAGGCGCTCCTTCCCCCCGCCGGGCGCCTCCACCCCGCCGCCCCAAGCTGAAAGGCGACGAACCCTGTGGGGGCCACTCGGCCTGGCTCGGGGCCCTGCTCCTTCTGCTCAGGAACGCGCAGTGCGGCCCCTCCTCGTCCGTCTCCGCGTCCACGCCCCCCCCCCCCCCCCGGCTGGCGACCACTTGGTCTGCGCCGCCTGCATCCTCTGTGTGCCGGGCCCGCCCGCACTGCGGGGTTGAGGCGGGAGCCGCCCACGCCGCGCCCGCCGCACGGCAGCGGCGTCTCCCTGGGACGCGCGCGGGCTCCGCGGCGCGGGAGCCGAGCGGGAGGCCATGGCGCTGCGCGCAGGGAGGTGACCCGCCGGACGCGGGGAGCGCTGGACCGCCATGGCCCGGCGGCGGCGCCGCGCCTGCATCGCGCTGTTCCTGGTGCTGCTCTTCGCCTTCGGGACGCTCATGGGCCTGCGCACGCTCAAGGCTCCGGACGGGCTCCCGGCGCTGGGCCCGGGCCTGGAGGTGGCCTCCTTTGAGCGACGCCCGGAGGGGGTCCCCGCTGCCCGGGACCCGGCCGCCCCCGCCGTGCCGCCCCCGCCGCCACCCCCGCCCCGCACCGTGGGCCCGGGCAGCCCCCCGGGACCGGCCCCAGCAGAGGCCGAGCCGGCTCCTAAACAGAGTCTGCGCGTCTACTCGGACTTGCACGCCTTCTACTATTCGTGGTATGGGAGCCCGCGGCGCGAGGGCCACTACATTCACTGGGACCACGTCATGGTGCCGCACTGGGACCCCAAGATCTCGGCCAGCTACCCCCGCGGCCGCCATAGCCCCCCGGACGACTTGGGCTCCAGCTTCTACCCAGAGCTGGGGCCCTACAGCTCCCGGGACCCCGACGTTCTGCGGGAGCACATGACCCAGCTCAAGGAAGCCGCCATCGGTGAGTTAGTTCCTCCCGCCCCTGGGCGTCCCCGACCCGGCCTCGCCCTTCTTTCTTCCTGCACCGCAACTCCCGCCGATCCAGTCGAAGGGCCTTCGGCCCCACTCACCCCTCCGCCTGGCTTCTTATCCCTTCCGCGAGGCCCTGCCCCTCTTTCTGGGATTCAGACGCACCCACCTCTGCCTTCTGACTCCCAACGTTTCAGGGCCCTTTCCTAGGCCGGAGCTGCTGGGAGAGCCAGTGGAAGGCGGGAGCAGGGTCTTCATGTCTGTTGGGCATCCAGGTTTGGGTGAGTGAGGCCTGGGTCTCCTGGCCCCGCAGGAGCCTGGGATTAGGAGGAGTAGCGCCTGGGACGGCCCCCGCTTGCACACCAGGGACCGGGCAGGGCAGCAGCGCGTCCTGCTTCTGCGGCTGCAGGCAGGACAGGTCGTCCAGGTTGCATGATGGATGCCGCTCTGTGTGGGGTCCAGGAGCTCTCCATCAAGTGCTCTGCTTGAAAAGAGGTCCCTGGGAGCCTCCTTGAGGCAGCCTGGGGTGGGAGGCTCACCTGTTTCAGATTTGTCACCGAATTCTGCTGGATTTTACAGCGCATTTCAACTTATCTGGAAACGATTAATGAGTGAGGGGGAAAAAATCGAATGCCAGAGACGCTGGGAAGAGGAGTTCACAGATAAATAGCACAAAGCCTATCCCGCAGGATTTTACAGTCTGGAGGGCCTGGCAGCCTAGACAAACGCTATTTCCCGCGGGAAGAATAGGATGACCTCTCCGTTCAGGGCTCTTCTCCATTCCGGAGCTCGAGGGTGCACCTCTCTTCCCGGGATAGGGCTGTGGCTTCCGGGTGGGTGTGGCGTTGTCCACCTATTTCCCTTTGTTCTACTACTTGCTAATGTCAGCCAAAGCCTGGCTCCTACCCGGAGCTTTTTCAGGCTCCTTCCAGGCCTGGCACGTGAAGGTTCCCTGAGCTGCTGCACTTCAGCACCGCGGGTGGGGACAGCTCCAGGGCCGGCAGGGGAACCTGGCAGGAGCCTTGCTCTGAGATTTCATTCGGAAACCATGTTGCAGTCGGGCGTGGCTTGTGAGGAAAGAGACCCCCGTTGTGGGGAACCTGTGCATCTCTGAAGGAGTGTGTGTTGTGTCTCAGGCGTCCTGGTCCTGTCCTGGTACCCACCGGGCATGGCTGATGACAACGGGGAGCCCTCCGATGACCTGGTGCCCGCCATCCTGGACACTGCCCATCAGTACGACATCCAGGTGAGTCTCCAGGAAGGGATCAAGTGTCCCCCAACCCATTTTGGAGAGTCCCCGCCATCCAGAGGGATAGTGCCTCCACCGAGTTCTCCGCAGTAGCATGGCTCTGGCAACTAAGTAGCAAGTGTGGTGTTGGGGGTGGGGGTCTAATAAATACTGCCTATGTCACTCTTATTTTCTTCCATCCTGAAAAAAAGCTCGGAAAATTAAATATAGGAGACTCGGGAGACTAAATATCTCAATAACAGAGGTGAAGTCAGAGACCCTGACCCTGGATAGAAGGCAGGCCAGGGCCAAACGGGCCCACACACAGCTCCAGGCTCAGCTGCCAACCGGCGGGCAGTGCTGGGCCTCAGGGCGCGGAGGGCAGGTGTTCTTTCCAGAGGGCAAGGGAGCTGAGCTACCCATGTGCCGTCATTTCCCCAAATGGACCAATCAAGTAAGTGCTTTTCCTCTCGATAAAACAGCAGAGAAGCGCTGTACTCGCATTCCCGAGCCCATCACTAACACGGCTAACAGGCTGTAGCACGTTCTCCCATCGGCACAGCTCCGGTAAACTTCTTCCCATAGTTCCAGGCACCTAGTGCTGATCACGTGGAACTGGCACAGAAGGTGAAGCCTACTAGCCATCCTGCCCATCAGGTGATTCCCTGATGCCCCGTGTGAGAGGTGGGAAAACCTCCTGCCCTTCTTTTTTTTGGCCCTGAGGGCAGTGGCTGCTCTTATGTCTGCTGTGCCCACCATTGCCAGGCCCTGTCTTGAACTCAGCTTCTCCTCTCAGCCATGTGGGACCATGAGCCTTAAAGGTTGTGACCTTGGAGACATACTCACCTGACCAGTATCTCCTGTTTGTGGCAGGTGGCTTTCCACATCCAACCCTACAAGGGCCGGGATGACATCACTCTGCACGACAACATCAAGTACATTGTTGACACGTAAGGCTGCTCTGGCGAGTGAATTTTGGTGGGGATCAAATTGGGGGTAGGGACAGGTTTGTAGGGGCAGGTCGAGACAGAGGGCAGAATGCTTGTGTCCCCAGCAGTTGTTATTATTTCTAATCCTCACCTGAGGACATTTTTTCTGTACTTTTAGAGAGAGAGGAAGGAGGGGAGAGAGAGAGGGGAAAAAATTAGATTGGTTGCTTCTCATAGGCTCCCTGACCGGGAACCAAACCCACAACCTTTCGGTGCGGGGCAGCACTCCAACCTACAGAGCCACACTAGCCAGGGGCCCCAGTGATTATTTTACAAGAAGTATTGGGCTTACAGTCGGCAACCCGGGTTTGAATTCCGGTCCTACAGCCTCTAATCTGTAATCGGAGGTAAGCCTCTTTACCTTTGAGTCTTGTGAGAGTTACAAGTTAATACATGTGAAAGTGGCTTGTACAGCGCTTGCATGCTCATCCATTCATTGAAAAAATGTTGACTGAGTGCCTTTAGGTGTCTAGCACTGTCCCGAGCCCTAGTTGCCCTGTGCCTTCGCTAGTAATGGGTAGGGCTAGGGAAGTTCACATTTTAGTGTATGCTGGGGATGCAGTGGAGCAGAGTAGTTACACACAGAGTCAAACCGTGCCCTGTACTATGGAAAGTAATAATAAAGAATAGAGCAGGGCGTTGTGTCGGAATGGGTGGCCGAGACTGCTTTCTGAGGAGATGACATGCGAACTAACAACTAAGTGAAGAGGTGGCCCTGCAGATTGGGGGCAGGCAGAGGGCTGTGAGATCCGAAGGCCACAGGATGGGACAAGCCTGACAGCAGAACAGGAAGCCCAGTGTGGCTGGCGTGCAGAGGTGGAGGGGTATCCGCTCGGATGGAGGCAGGCGGGGCCAGATCAAGTAGGTGGGGCCTTACAGGTCTGGGTAAGGAGCAGTCAGACCTGATTTAAATGCAGAACAGAGCCCTGGCCAGTGTGCTTCAGTTGGTTGGAGAGTCCTCCTATAAACCAAAAGGTTGCAGGTTTGATCCCCAGTCAGAGCAAAAGCCTAGGTTGCGGGTTCAGTCCCCAGTCAAGGTGTGTATAGGAGACAACCAACCAATGCTTCTCTCTCACATCAATGTTTCTTTCCTTTCTCTCTCCTTCCCTTCCCCACTCTCTAAAATCAATGAGCATGTCCTCGGGTGAGGATTAAAAAAAGAGAGAATGTTATAAGGAGGTAGAAGTGGAAGCCTGTTACCCAGATTAAAGATGGTGGTGGCTTGGCCTAGGGCAGGGGGGTGAGGCTTAAATAAAGAAATTAACAGGCTGGAACCTGGCTGGTGTGGCTCAATGGGTTGGGCATCATTGGGAAAACTGAAAGGCTGGTTCTATTCCTGGTCAGGGCACATGCCTGGGTTTCTAGCCAGATCACCAGTTGGGGGCATGTGAGAGGTAACCAATCGATGTTTCTCTTCCTCTCTTCCCCCCTCTCTAAAAATAAATAAAATCTTAAAAAAAAAAAAAGAAAAGAAAAGAAAAAGAAAAATGCCGGGCTGGGGAGAGGAAGCAGGCAAATAGGTTCTTGCTTAGAGCCATGACAATCCAATTACGGAGACTGGCTGGACCCAGAATTGTGCTGGGGCATCAGGAAAGCTCTCGTCCACCGCTGGCCCCACAGTTGTGCTGCCGTCTCAGGCTCTTCTTCCTCCTGCTCTTCAGGTATGGCTCCCACGACGCATTTTACCGCTATAAGAACAGCATGGGGAAGAGCCTCCCACTCTTTTACATCTACGACTCCTACCTGACAACCCCTGAGGCCTGGGCCCATCTCCTGACACCAAATGGGCCCCACTCCATCCGCAACACCCCCTATGATGGGGTCTTCATAGCGCTGCTGGTGGAAGAGGGCCACACTCACGACATCCTGGCCGCCGGATTTGACGGCATGTACACCTACTTTGCTTCCAATGGTTTCTCCTTTGGCTCCTCCCATCAGAACTGGAAAGCTGTGAAGAGCTTTTGTGATGCCAACAACCTCATGTTCATTCCCAGTGTGGGTCCTGGCTACATCGACACCAGCATCCGGCCCTGGAATAACCACAACACACGGAACAGGGTCAACGGCAAGTACTATGAGACGGCCCTGCAGGCGGCCCTGACGGTGAGGCCTGAGATCGTTTCCATCACCTCTTTCAACGAGTGGCACGAGGGCACCCAGATCGAGAAGGCCATTCCCAAGAAGACTCCAACGCGCCTGTACCTGGACTACCTGCCTCACCAGCCCAGTCTGTACCTGGAGCTGACTCGCCGCTGGGCAGAGCACTTCATCAAAGAGAAGGAGCAGTGGCTGATGTGAGGGGCCTGATGCAGGACACGAGGTGCTGCTGTCCCAGCCGCGCTGGAGTCCCATTGCCATGAGGGGCTCTGCTGACGTTACAGGCCCTCACTGTCCCCCGGTCAGCAGCTGAGTGCTTCTGGGTGGACCAGCAAGCCTGGGCTCGTGTGGGAACAGAGCCTGTCCCTCAGGCAAGTGGTGCTGGGGCTGCTCTGCAGTGACAGGAAACTGGGGGTGTTCTGGAGAGGGAACTGTACGTAGAAGCTGGCAGGAGACTGGACTTAGCCCAGGGAAGCTTCGCATCCCCAGTCAGAGCACTTTAAAATGATCCCTTCGGGCTTTGCACTCGGCAGGTGGGTGTGGTGTGAGCCAGGCCACTGCTGTCCGAAGGGCGTCAGGGCTCTGGGCTAGCATGCACCCTCCCCCTTCTGCCAGCCTGTCTTCTCTTCAGGCCTCCTTCCAACACCGTCTATCTTCTCCAAGTTAGGGGACAGAATCTGAGACTGTCCAAAAGGGAAATGCTAGGTTTAAGCTCTTCCCAGTGGATTCCTGGACCCCATTTTCAGGAAATAATCCAGAGCATCCACACATTCATTGAACGGAGCGCGGTCATTTGCTGGGAGCAAATGACCAGGACCCAGCTTCCCTCATCTGGCACGGCCTTGTAGCCAGTGCTGAAGCGCAGCCACAAGTTCTCGTTGCAGTTTTACCCCAGCTGGGAGTTGTTTCTTCTAAGAAAATACCTCTGTGCTCAAGCCGTTTTCCCAGATGAACATTTAGCTCCAGGGAGAGGCCTGGGACATGCCCCTCCCTTTAGCTGCCTAAACTGAATGAGGCCCATTCACTAGAGCCATTTTCAGTGTGACTGTGATTTGTATTAATTAAATATGATGTTGTATTCTCAAGCAAGCATTCCTCTTGCTCTCTTCACAGATTCTGACAAACTGACACGTGGGATAGCTAGTGTTCACTTAGTGGAGAGTGTGCTTAGGTAGCTCAGACAAGATTTCTAGAGGGAATATTTAACAAACCACTGCTTCTTTCCAAATAAACTAATGTGCTAATTGCAGAGGCAGCCTCCCTCCCCACCCCCTTTTTGGCAAGATTCTTAGGATCTACTTGAAAAAAATGTCTATTGGGAGCCACTATATTAAGTTTGTGGGCTTGAGACTGAACCCTAATTCTGGGATCTGGGGTACCAGGCAGAGAGGCAGCAGCCGGCCTACTGGGTGCCACAGGGACTCCCACTGCAGTGAGATGGCCAGTGGATGGGGTAAACCTGCTCATCCTGCTGGTGACACAGCTGGGGAAACCAAGGCAAGTAGGGACAGGTGAAAAGGGGTGGATGGTGAGCTGTAGTAATTTACTGAAGGAGGAGCACTGAGGCCTCATTTCGTAAATAGTTTGAAAAACACTAAAAGTATGGCAATGCTGATGGCAGTCTGATAGAAACCAGTTCTTTTGAAGGCTTATCTGTGTCAAAGGCCATAGGAATGCTCATACACTTTGACCTAGTAATCATACCCTGAGGAAATAATTCAAAGAAGAAAAACAAGCCATTTTCAAAGATGTTTAATAGCAGCATTATTTTCTATTAAAGAAAAACAAAGTTCAAATGCCCAACAATACTTATGTTTCATGCTTGGGATACATATAAATACAGATGAAGGCTGTATTCATATGTACACACAGACTTAAATAAAGGTATTACAGGTATAATTAATTATAATTTATTTCGTGTCTGAAAGAGAGAGTAGAGATTTTCCAATATGCTTTAATTTGGATACCCCGCGGCCTGCCCTCACCCCCTGCCAACTGGGCTGACATTCCATCATCGGACCACAAGGACGACCCTCCGCCAGACAAGCAGAGCGCCGCCGGCTCCTGGCTCAGAGGACACGGCGTTGGGCCTGTGGCTCTACAACCTTTAACTTAACCTGGTTCTCGCCTCAGGAGGCATGAACGCTCATGTCTTTGGTCACTTGAGACTTTTAAACAGCACCAACAGCTCTAGCTTATTTGGACCTCAAATGCCACCACCTCTCACTGGATTCCAAATGTTATTTAAGTTGCATTTCAAAAATTTTTAAAAAGAGAGAAGAAGAAAGTTATCAGAATTAAGAGCATCCTAGGAATGTTCTTAAGGTCTCTAATCAGCTTTTGGCTGACATATAAAATTAAATATAGCGCCCTTCCTGGGGTGTGAGGCTATACCAGCAACTTCTGGGGCCCGGTCTACAAAGTTCAGAAAGACAAACTGCCTGAAAAGCATCAGACTAGCGACACTAGCCCCAGTGGCCTCTGCAAATGAGGCCATGCCAGCCACCAGCGGACAGACACATGGTGTCCAGCATCAGTCCCCAGGCCCTCCTGCCTCCCAAGTTTCACATGCAGGATCCGTGCGAGGGGAGCAGCCCGTACTTCTGGAGAACAGCCGTGGTACTTTCCAGGGCACTGAGGAGGAAATGGAGGACAGTTAGAGTCTGGTGATCAGGGACCTCAAACTCTGGTGTTGCTATACTCTGATTGTCAAACCCTTGATGAATCCTTTTGAATCCTGAAAAGCCAGAGAACACCAGCAAACTCAGTCTCACTCCACCCACAACTTCCCCAAACCTCCCCACCTCTGCCACAGCAAGAGGGTGTGACCACCTTTACTTTGTCAAGGCCTCGTCTGCACCTTTCAACCTGCCTCACATTCTATTCCCAAGCCACTGGAAAGACTCACCAGCCTGGACGAATGATGCCAAACTTTCCTGGCACAGACAAGTCAACCACAGTTGAGCCCAGGCGACACTCAGGGCTCTGGCCATCCCCAATTGGTCCCCCATCAATTACCAGGGACAGCTGAGGCCAGAGGTCCTGGAACTCCTAGGAAGGGAGAGAGGAAGACTATGGACACTACCCTTGGCCTTCACAATGACATCATACTGCAGGGAGGGCTCATCAGTCAGACAAAGGCTACATAGTCCAAAGACAGTGGGCACCTTCCTCCCAGCAGGGGAAGGAGCCTCATGTGGTTAAGGTCAGCCATGCTAAGGACACTGCATTAACCTAGAACATTACTTCCTATGAGGTTTGAAGTCCCCCGCAACCAGCCCCAATTAGTTGCAATCTAGAGCTCAAAGAATATCTTTTTTCTTTCCTTATTTTTAGAGGGGAAAGGAGGGAGAAGGAGAGGGAGAGAAACATCAGTGTGTGGTTGCGTCTCACACGCTCCCTACTGGAGACCTGGCCTGCGAGCCAGGCATGTGCCCTGACTGGGAATTGAACCAGTGACCCTTTGGTTAGCAGGTTGGCACTTAATCCACTGAGCCACACCTGCCAGATGGAGAAATATCTTGCTGTGCCAAGAGGAAATTCCACACATTGTTTCTGGTGTGCAGATATAAGTACAATGACTGGAATCCCAGGTAGGAGCCCGAACATGTGGGCTCCAGGACAGACTTTCCAAATCTCCATGTGACCACATTCCTGTTACATCATCTAGGCTGTAAAGTAAGATGGTCCCTGAGGGCCCTTCCGGCTCTAGCACTCTGATCCCAGGGTCTCAGTGGGACTCTGGGTCGAGGTACAGAGAGGAAAACAGGGTGTATTCCCAAGTGCATGCCACCAACAAATCTCAGTCCTTGGGCTGTAGGAAGGGTGCTCCCCTCTGGGCCAGACAGCACTGCCCGCCCGACCCCAACCCCGACTCCTGATGAAGACACTGCAGTGGCAGTCAGGTCTGGGAGTCTGGGATGGGGGTGGTGAACACCAGAAAGGTAAGTCAACCGTGTGCTGAAACGGTAGGGGTATCTCCCACCACCCCTCCTCCACTGCCCTGAGTATGGCCACCAGGACCAAGTAAAAGCCTAGGGTCTGAGAATAAGAAGGGATGCTGACCTTTCACTTTCCAAGGCTCCTGAACCCACTCTCTATGCCTGGGCATGGGAAACCCCACCACTTTACTATGCTTTACATTCAAGTTCAGTTACGAAGACAACAGTGTGGTAGGTTTAATTTGTGTCCTCATTTGTTCTAAGTTCTGCAGCTAAGATGGGCTTAAGGACGATCCTTTCTCTGACCTGGCTTATGGCAGAGGTAAGAGGGTCAGGAGTCCCCGGGAAAGTGATTTCACTTTTTAGAGCCTTAACTTTCTTTATAGCACTGTGAAAAAGACCACTGCCTGTCTTCAACAACTGCTACCCTCACAAAAAGGAGGAAAATGAGATTATACTTATAATGTTTCTTTTTAAAAGATAGGAGAAAACACCAATCTTCCCCCTCGCTTCTTGAACTTTGTAATGAAACCTTTCCAAGGTTCTTGGATCCCCCCCCACCCCATCCCCTGCCAAATGGGCAGACTGCCCACCACTGGACTCTTCTGCCTGGCAATTCCAGCAAACCATCAACCCCACTGGCTCACAGAAAACTGTACTGGGCCTGGTGATATTTCTGGGTTGGGAGGAACTGGGTAACTCTCACCTCGACATTCAGAGAACTGGCCTGGGAGCTGAGGTTAGCGCTGGTGAGAGCAAGTGGTCCCCCAAACATCTGGGCCAAGTCCTGCATGAAAGCATGGTCGGGAATTCGGATGCCTACAAGCTATGAAGCAAGGTGAAAGGGGAGCATGAGAAAGGTGGAAGGGGTGGGGCAATGGGTCCAGCCTGGATCCATATTAAAGCCAAATGGCAGGAGTCTGGGGACGAAGACAAATCTGACTCACAGGAGTGAAGGGGTTCAGGTCCTTATTGAGCCCCTCTGAGCGTTCCATCACCAGGGTCACTGGTCCTGGCAATAGGTCTTTCAGGAGCACCTCGGGTACTCTCACATGACAGTACCTGGGGAACAAAGGGGGCGCAAATTTATTCAAGAATGAAGGGCCACAGCTGCTCCTAGGCCGGCTTCAGGCAGATCTAGAAAAGGGGACCCCAGGGACTACAATGGAAACCATCTGTCTTCCCTCCTCACCTAAGAGCTTGAGTAGATTGGGCTAGAGAAGCACCTCAGGCTCAGAGCCCACATGCCTCCGGTCTGAGGCTACAAACAGCTGCATTGCTATCACGCTTTGGGTTTTGTTTTCTTCAAACCCTTCCCTACTAAATTACGCTATTGTGTTTCCTCTATCTTTTAAACCAGGGAGTGCCGCCGCTCCCTCACCCCCTACCATTAATCACAAAAACGTCGGGAGACTAGGGACCCTGCCTGCCTGGTTCATCGCTGCGTCCTTGCACCCCGCTCAGGGACAGGCAGACATTAAATGCTCGAGACACATTTCCAGTTCCGGATTCCTGGGTGAGCCTGGACAAGCCCCTCCCGCTCTCTGCGCCTCAGTCTCCCAAGCCTGTCACCGGAAGCCCCTCCCGCGGTGCCGCCCCCAGCGGGGCCGGGTCGGGGAGGCCTTACCTGTAGACGTCGGCCACGCGGCCCAGGCACACAGCCAGCGGCTTGGCCTCGCTGCGGCCCTTAAGGCGGTACACATTGCCCAGTGCTGCGGAGCAAGTCGCCGAGCAGGCCAGGCCGTACAGCGTATCGGTGGGGACGGCCACCACGGCGCCGGCGCGCAGCTCGGCCACGGCAGCCCGCAGCGCCTCGGTCCAACCGGCGCGCTCCGGGCTTGCGGCCCGCACGGCCCCTCTCCCCGGGAGCCGCAACAGCCGGGCCCCCGGCACCGCCCGAGCGGGACTCGGAGGGCGGAGAAGGCGGCCGCTCCGAACGGAGCCCGCCGGCCCCTCGCTCAACCCCACGCTGGCAGCCACCGCGGCCCTCAGTCCCTTGCACGGACGCGCCGGAGACATCCGCCCAGGCCCGCTTCCTGGAGGAAGTGACGCGCCCAGTCAGCTTCCGGTCCGGGAGGCTCGGCCCCACCTCCGCGCCGGGCAGCTTAAAGGGACCACGACCCCCAGGAGAATTGAAGGAGACCGGTGGGGACGGGGCGGGGCGCGGCTTTGCGGAGTCTTAGCGCAGCGCTGGGGAGGGGGTGCGGCTGAAAGGGGGGCGGTGGTCGGGCCGCGCAGGTGGAGATGGAATGGGGCCCTGGCTCAGACTGGTCCCGGGGGTGAGAGGGGGCCCGTCGGGGCGGGGGGAATGGGCTCGGACCCCGCGCCAGAGCCGGCCCTGACTGTCTCGCTCTCTCCCGGGCAGGGAGGCTGCAGGCGTGGACCGTGGGAAGGCGGGGCTGGGTCTCGGCGGGAGGCCACCCCCGCAGCCGTCCCGGGATGAGCGCGCCCAGCAGCTGCTGGATGCGGTGGAGCAGCGACAGCGGCAGCTCCTGGACACCATCGCAGCCTGCGAGGAGATGCTGCGGCAGCTGGGCCGTCGGCGCCCGGAGCCGGCTGGTGGCGGGGTCAGTGCCCATCCCGGGCTGGGCCTGGGAGGTGGGGGACTTTGTTAAGCCTCCCCTGATGGGTGAAAGTGTTCCCCACCACTTTACTTCCCACCTTATATCTGGGTGAGAGGCTCTGAAAAAGTTCAGTGCTATCCTTGCGGGGCCTAATCCAAGGCCTTTTCCCCCCGTCTCACTCTTTTCCTTTCTGTTCCAATCAGAACGTCTCAGCCAAACCCGGAGCGCCCTCCCAGCCAGCTGTCTCCACCAGAGGCGGCTTTCCAAAGGATGCTGGCGATGGAGCTGCGGAGCCCTGACCGAGCCGGTGGCCCTGAGTTTTCTCCCTCTTTGGGGCTGGTGGCTGGACTCTGAACAACTGCCTTCAATAAAGGGGCCAGTCCTCACTGGCAGTGGCTGGAACTCGGCCCTCAGCCTGGGGTGGCAACTCTGCTAGCAGCTGGGTTCACTCCCACTTCATCCTGGCTGAAGGCAGTGCTGAGTTTTGAAATGTAGCCAAGGAATACCCAGTCTGATTACCCGGATTTGGGCAGCCCAGCAGTGCTCTCCAGAGCGGTCGGGCCTGCTTTGGGGGATCCAGGTGGTGTTACATGTCCATTTCATGCTTTTGGGGCTCCTACCCCCACAAAACACTTTTAGCAGAGCCTTGATTAAAGGAAACCTGCAGACTATGGTGGTGGCAGACCTTTCCTTTGTATCCCTTCTGTAAGACTGATGGCTGGGGAGCAGGGAGGCGGTTGATCACTGTCAACCTCGGGCAGGGTTGGGAAGAAATACCACGGATAACTACCAGATTTAAATAAGCATTTAATTAGGATTTCATTAGTATTTAATATTGCTTTTTAAATTCCAAAAAGTTAAATTTTCACTTAGCAGATATTTTAAAGTACAATATTAAGTTTATACAAAATGAGCAATTAAGCAAACACCATTATTTCACATTCTTCAAAAATACAAATTCATATTTACTCTTTTGGGTTTGGAGTTTTCTTCCTTTGGAAGTACTGAACCTGTAACGTTTTCATATCGCTCAGTGGAAGTCCGTTGTTCCCATGTTTCACACTTAAAGGAATTTGATAGGCTTTACGTAATCCAAATAAAACTATCTCGGATTGAAAGAACTGTCCCCAAGACCTCTGGCCAATGACTAGTGTGTGTCAGAAAAAGGAGGCTGGCGTGGGTCTCACCTTTCCCGGCCAGAGGATCTGAGTCAGAGATGCAGTAAATCGTGTTTCTAGCCGCCTTCCCCAAACAGGTACTCGGAGTTCACAGGGAAAGGAAACCACCACCCTAAACTCTGACCCTCACCCCCACATTCACCAAAACACAACAGAGGACTAGACTGTGGGGTCAAACATCACCCTACGGGAGGCCTGAGGACACAGGGGAGAGGGCAAGAGAGGCCTCTGACTTGGCACCACTACGAGGATAACAAGGATATTGCAAAAAACACCCCTGGGTTTTGGTGAAAAAAGGTTTTATGAAAAACTGTCCCATAAGAAAAAGAGTAGAAACTGCATTGAGCTGAGAAAGTGACACTGTTCTCACCCAGTTTTTGGCCCAACAGACACACCACCAAAAGGGCAGTATGTGGTTTTAAACTTTGCATCCAGTAAAAAAGCTTGTACTATGTACACATTGACATGAAGATCCAGTTTAATTTGCATTTTTCAGTGCAGACTGAGCTCTCCCCTGAATAGGAGTAACAGTGAGAAATGCCCAAACAGTGGTCATCAGCTTCCCCACAGGGCGAGGGGAGAAATAAGGGACCCTTTTTCCCCTCTCCCTCCAAACTGTCCAAGAGGAAACAGGCTAAGCTGATTACCAATCAGAAATATGCATAATTTAGTTTCGTTGCCTCTTCCCTCCCCAATATTAAGGAATGAACAATTCCAACCTACGTCACAGAATCACGTGTATATTGGATCTCTGAAAATCTTTCTGCTTTGGCTGAAATGTATTTTAAAACTTTTCTATTGTAGCCTGAGAATGAAGATAAAATGCAGTGGGAGGGGGAATAAGAGAGGAGTGAGGGGGAAGGAAGAAAGCTGGTAAAGCAAATTATTAACAGCTTTGTTTATTGGATTTAATGAAGGCTGGAGGCCTATTTGTTTAAAGAGCCAATAGGGGCAGTACAGGAGCAGTATGGAAATGGCTCCCATCCACGCCCCACCACTAACACCTCCCTGCACATATTTCTGATTGGTGACGTAGGAACATTGTGAAGTCTTTGTAGCAATACTGTTGCAGTTTCACAGATCAATGGTTTGTGTGACTCTGAAGAAGTCTAAGATTATGGACAATGGACGTGATTACAAATATAAAAGTCTAGAAGGTGCCAGGTTTCTACGTAGGAACGATCCGGTCCTTCCTTTCAGGCATCATTCTGTAATGGTGAAGAGGGGAAAGACGACAAGGGAGCAAGAAGTGGTGAAACAGGACCCACGGCAGTTCTGTAGAGAGCCTGAGGGGGGCGCCCTCAGGCACACTGGGAAGGCTTGCATAGATTGACCAGTTGCTGAGAATGCATAATAATAGTGTTTCCCTTTAGACAGCCTCCTGGTACAGGGCTGGTGGAGCAGAAAATGCGGCCAGGCCAGGGCCACATGGGACAACGACCGTCAAGCCACACGTATTGCACCGAGATAAGTGCTTTTCTTTTCACACCTCAATTTAACTTTTTATTCTGAGCAAAAAATAAAACTTTGTGAAAAGTGTGTGTGTGTGTGTGTATATATATATATATATATATGCACACACACAAAAAATTGCAGCAATTGGGTTAAAGATAAAATAACCTAAAGTGCTTTTTCTTTTATTATTTCTTTAATATACCAAAATGAGGTTCTGCAAACTCGTCCCTCTGGACACATTCAGCATTATAACATAGTCTCTCAGGAAAACCCGCCCACCCTCCATCATCCCCATCGGCCCACTGCCTTGACACTGAAGGTACAACTCTCCAAGCTACTGGCTCCCAGAGGTGGAGAACACAAGTCCCCTGCTTCTACTCAGAGAGGTCTCCCACACATTAAGGACCCTTCTAGGCTTTGTACCACGATCTCCTTCTGAAAGAATGGCGGGCGGGAGGAAGACCAAGGAATTCAACAAATGACACCAACTCCTGTCACCAAACGTGATGCCCTCATGAGGTTGACCAGGCCCTGCCAGGAAAGGTAGGGCCACTTTCCCTCGATGCCCCACCCCCTTGCCTGGGAAGGGCCAAATTCACTAAGGCAGTTTGGCGGTGCCAGCCAAGTTTCCTACCACCCCCCGAGCCCATGAACGCCAATTCCTGATGCTGGCTGGCACCCTGTAAAGGAGAAGGAGAGCTAGAGAGGCTGGTGGGAACTGGAACATAAATCTACAGGGTGAAAACGGTTCCGGTTACCATGGGAAGAAGGAGGGCTTGATCCCATCTGCGAGAAGTCTGCAGGCCTTCCCTGACCTTGCCCTGGGTTCATTCCCGGGTTGAGGAAACCGCAGGAAATCCAGGAAGGCTCTGCCTGGCTCCCCTTTAGCCAGCTGCCAGCTCTTCTCCAAGGTCCTTGGCATTAAAGGCCAGGTCTGTAGAAGGGGGTGTGGGGAGAGAGAGCTGGAAGAGGAAGGAAAGACCGTCTACCCTATGGAATAAACCTACTCTTTACAACTGCTCACTAACATTTTAAACACACTCCTGATTTTTCAAAAGCTAATTGGATTTGACAGTCCTCCTTGTAATCTCGAGTCACCCTCAAAAGGCAGACACTTCAACTGGAAAAATCTGTCAGCCTCAGCACTGTTTTAAGATGCTTCTTCATCACCTCCAGTCTTTGGAGAGGGGAAAAGCCACTGCCCTGGGTGGCTCAGTGGTAGCACAGCCCTGGCCAACTAAGGTAGAAGCAACACTCAACCCACGGACACGGCTAGTGGCTTTCCCCGGACTCCCGATTCCCACCTCAGCTCCCCGGGAACCGAGTCCCTGGTGACTCTAGGTACCCGGGAGGAGGTCATTCCTGCCCTCCTCCCACATACCTTTGGGATCCCATTGTGCTGCTCTCTCTCAGAAGAGGTAGAGAAAAATAGCAAGGGTCCTGACCTCAAAGCTTCCTATGGGTTCAAGGTGCAGAGACAGCCGAGGACAAGCCATGCCGGGCAGTTAGCTTTCCAGGACGAACCTGCTGTGCTAACAGCAGGTTCCCCCTCCTTATCAGTTTCTGTGGTGGTCAGTGGTCACCAGCACCCACCAGCCCCGTGGGAAGGGGAGTGCAGAAGGTCAAACCAGTTCTCCTGCCTAGACTCCTGGAATGAGGAACCACCAGCTGCGTGTGGTGAAACCCATTTCTCCTCATGGCAGTGATGATGCTCACCCCCACGAGCCTGAACCTTGATATTTTATTAAAGGCAGAGCTTCTGGTTCCCAAAGTGATCTGCTCTGGATACTGTCTTGGCTGGCCCTGAGTAATGGCTCAGAGA